AGTTTCCGGACAGGATGGTGGAAGCAACATTGTGGGGGTGCTGAAAGTTTTTATTATGCTGAATGGGATTGGGTAGAGACTAGCGATGGACAGGAGAGACGGAAAGCTTCCCCTGATTTAATTGACATGACATTTATCAATCCATACGACAGGCAAAAGGTATCTCTTGAAGCCAATAAGATAAAAATCACCTTTACCTCAAAAGGAAAACAGGATAGGAGGTGGACAAGTGGGCTGACATGGGGCCTGAGACCTAACTCATGGCCACCGACTATAGGGGTTATGTTTCAGATCTTTCTCAAGGTTGAAGCAGTAGTCGAATTGGCAATAGGGCCCAACCCAGTGCTGAAACCTCCCCACCCAGAGCCCCAACGTCCTACACTGAGGCTCATTCCCCAGCCTACTACATCTGCTACCCCAACTATGGGAAACCCACCTCCTTTCAAGACTCCCATGTGGGAAATGATACAAGCAGTGGTAGAGACCGTAAATCACACCAGTCCCTCCCTTGAGGACCCATGTTGGTTATGCTACCCTGGATCCCCACCTTTCTATGAAGCAATCAGGATGAATGGCTCTTACACTCTCAACAGCTCTCATCCTACTTACTGGGACGGGAGACCATGGGGATTCACTATTTACCAGGTTTCTAGCACTGGTACCTGTGTAGGCACAGTTCCAGCATCCCAAAGCCAGGTATGCTCCTCAAGCATTACTGGCCCATGGGAGCAGGAAAAGTGGGTTATACCCTCTTCAGGATGGTGGCTTTGCTCAAAAATAGGCCTCACCCCAGCATTATCCACCTATGTGTTTAACTCCATTGCTGAGTTCTGTGTACTAGTGGCCATTCTGCCCCGGCTTTCATACCACACCCATGAATCTTTTCTCTCTTACTGGGAAGAAAGACTAGGTCCCCTTAGGAGTAAAAGGGAGCCCATCACAGCCCTAACCATTGGGACCCTCTTTTCTTTGAGGCTGGCCAGAGCACGAATGAGAATTGCATCCCTAGTGATGTGGGAACAAGGACTTACAGCCCTAAGACTGGCCGTTGACAAAGACTTAGAGCAGCTCCGGCAGTCAATGTCAGACCTGGAGCAATCCCTCACCTCCTCATCAGAAGTAGTATTGCAGAATAGGAGAGGCCTAGATCTATTGTTCCTAAAGGAAGGGGGACTATGCGCTGCCTTAAATGAAGAGTGCTGTTTCTATGTGGATAAGACAGGAGCAGTTAGGGAATCTCTGGCCAAGTTAAAGCTGGACCTAGAAAAAAGACGTAGAGAATATGAGGACCATAAAAAGTCTTGGTTCACACATAAACCATGGTTTACAACTCTCCTCTGAGCTATCACAGGACCTCTAATTATTCTACTGCTATTAGTCACAATTGGTCCCTGCATAATAAATAGGATACTAAGGTTTGTTCAGGAAAAAATCGATACTGTCCATCTCTTGGTCCTTCCCCAGAAATACCAAGCCTTAGATACTGCTGAGGAAGATTCCTCAGTCTGACTTAGAAAAAGGGGGGGAAATGTTATGGAAAGAGGAATTTACTGCTTGTTTGAATATACTGCTTGTCTGAATTTACTGCTTGAATTTACTTGTTTAAATTTACTGCTTGTAACCAATTAACTCAACTGGAGACACAGGCATCCGGAGATAGAGGCAAGTGCTGCAGCCCCCGGAGCCTGACCTGTCCTGACCTGTTCTGTGTCATGTCATGTCTGCTTACACAAGATAGAGTCGTACCAGGCACATACCAATCATCTCTCCCCAGTTGAGACACCTCAAGGGAGCTGTAACATTTCTTCTTGTTTTAAAGTTATTGGTTTGTGAAATGCTTGCTTTGAAACTATTGGCTGTATAAACGCAGGCTTTTGTGTAACGGTTGTGGGAACCTATATAATCTTTACCTAAAATTGCCTCAGGGTCGATCACTCTAACCAGATCTGCGTGTCTTGGAAGGACAGTCTGCCCCAGCTAGCTGGTTTAATAAAACTCTGCTTGATTTTTGTATCTCCATACTCGTGCATTTGTTCTCCAGAAGAGACCCAGCAAGTCACGGACCCTAACACCTTAAAATAAAATAAATGGGTTTAGGGGCTGGAGAGATGGCTCAGCAGTTAAGAACACTGGTTGTTCTTGTAGAAGACCTGAGTTCAAATCCCAGCACCCACACGACAGCTAACAACTTCCCGTGATGCCAGTCCCAAGGGATCCAACAGCCTCTGCTCACCTCCACAGGCAATGCATGACATAGGTGCACTTACCTACATGCAGGCAATACACACATACACATTGTAAAAAAAAAAAAAAAAAAGTAAATTGGTTTCTTTGCACCAAATGCATGGTCTTAAATACCAAAAGTATAACCAAAAATTAAAGGGATGAGTATATTTTCTTTAAGGGTCCAAAGGATTGCATTTCCCAGACATTAGACTTAAGTCAAGGTAAGATGTTATTTAGACAATTATTTCTCAGTGATGATTTTGTTCCTAACCAGAAAGTGCTGCTCAGATGTAAGACTTCAAATCTTGATCTCCAATACTGTAGTGCCCACCTGCAGCTAAGGGAGACAACTAGCTATTGTTCTAAAATGATGGATAAATTTGTTTTCTCTCCCTATCTAGAAGCATTTGAGAGGGAACTGATGCTG